CAGAAGTGTTTCCCAAACTGGAAGGTCAAAAAATCATCACTGTCAAAGCGAAATAAGACTGATATTCAGGTTTATTGTGGTTCTAATCGTTGTGCTTTTGAATTTAGGAAACATAAAACTTTCCTTAACTTCCCTTTTTTACCGCAAGACATAGTCGAGACACTGCCCTCAGGAATAGAAGGGCGTAGCATAATTACGATTTACATGTTATGCATCTCAGTAACACCAAAGCTCGATACTGGTGCCTTGGGAGATCCCGATGATTTCGGTCGAAAAAGTTTACTGAGAAACTTTTACTTAACAATCACCATGAGCAGCTGTTTTTCGGTTATTTTATATTAGGATATTTCGATAAACTGCACTTCTACAGCACCGCCACTAAAACTAGCAACTTTTCCAGTTGCTTTGACCACTGTTGCATAGCCTGGTGGTCAACCTGCTGGTCATTCTAATGTTATAAATTAAAATCTAAAACATATCCTCTTTCACACTCGCTCTGTCTGAAAAGCAGAGGCATTCGGAAAGTGCTGAAATGGTAACCAATGCCAACAGGAATCACCAACTGCCAATGATTATCAATGGCTCTCTCTTACAAAAGTTGCTTTCAAGCAAGCTGATGGCGAGTTCGATTCCCTGGTGTACCAGCTTACCGTCGAAACATATGAATACGTCGAAGAAACATTAGTAGACAAAACAATGAAACCAACTATAAAACAACGACTTGTAAAATATTACTGACTTAGCGAACATTTACAACCTGTTATTAAAAAATTTCCAGCAAATTAAACCAGAAGCGGAGAACAGTTTGCAACATGAATCCGGAATTGGTACGGATGGTATCCAGGAAAATATCTCGTGTAAGGAGGAACAGTGTAGTTACGATCTGTCAGTAGTGGATATAAATGACGAAGCGGCGATTCGACAATCAGCGGTTGCGGCAGTTGTCGATGATCGGACATGTCATCTGTGCTGGTTTGTTACGACTGTTTTTGTTAGCTTTAAATGGATAATTTTTTTTCAACCCATGCGCCATTCCTTTAGTAGAAAAATTTCTTAAGTATTGATCTGAAAAATTGTTCGAGTATTGAGCTGATTTATGTCTTGATTTCTTTTTTGATCCCATTGATGTCAAGGCGGAAATTCCGGGATTCCTGCAGCAAAAGATCCGTTGCTTGGCTGTTACTGGTTGTTCTGATATCAAAGATATCCTCATTTTTCAGCAAGCAGGTCTGACTGCTACATACGCTTGTTCTTGCCCCAAAACTTCTTTTCATTCTTTTCTGGAGGGAAGGAAGAATGCCAGCACAACTTCCCTCAGCTAGTGAAATTCGATGTACTTTTTCCAGGGAAGAGTCACGTTATCCTGGCCGTCATATAGCTCAGAAACATCTGAAAAAGCCACTTTACGAATGCCCGCTGTGTAATGCTTTTGGGAGTTATGAAAGTTGTACAGTCACAAAGCACATTAACAAAGTTCACCCGGAACACCGTAAAACTGTCCCGATTTCCAACCTGGAACGTTTTGCACATGAAATACGCGATTTGCAGGTTTGCTTAATTTCTCCTTCATATCATCATTTCTTAACGTCGCTTCTTCAACTGCACAACTGGCAACTTCCCTAGCCACTTTGACCAGTGCTGCATCGCCTAGTGGTCAGTCTGCTGGCAGTTCTCGCTTTCGTTTCGTTTCTTGAAGAAATCAATAATCGTTTATGAAAATGTCCAGTTTTGTAACTACTACATTCAGGGAGCATTAGTCGAGTCAGGATGTAGAAACAGTAGTGATCTCCTTTTTTGGAGCATAAAACTCAAAAATAATTGTGTAGAGAGGAAAAATGCAAAACACTTGAGCTTAATATCTGAATTCCAAAAGTAAATTCTTATCAAACACTGAAAAATACGACAAATACTAAATCTGCGCCCATCTTACTGAATTTTGAGCTAAAATTTGAATTTAATTCTGAAGAAAAAAGAAAAGTTTTCTTCGAATTTAAGCCAGTCAAAACGAGAAAGGGCATACTAGTATCGCTTCAGTCAAACGCATTAAAGCGGAACTGCCACTTTTCCAATAAAATCATCATGAATTTTCGCATTCTACATACACGCAGCAACAGAATTCTGTGAATGCGAAGAGCCTAAAACTTAAATCGATAGCACGTTTCTAAGCTACATCACTGGAGGACGTTGCGAATGTGACTCAGTAAATGAACAGTTTTAAGTAAAGGTAAATATGCGTACTTTGAACAAGAAAGATTTACTGTTGTAGAAAAGATGCTTCCCAAACCGACCGATGAAGCTTGTTCGACCGCACGCTGGTAGTCGTCCACGGGAACGTCACATGTGTCAAATATGTAAAGTACAGGTAACGCCCAAAATACAAATTGGCTGAAGCTTGAAAAGTATTTTCATTTTTTATAGTACATTATTCAAAATTGAATAACTGTAACCATTATCATCACTATTACTGTCGTTATTGTGATTAACATTATTATTACCATTATAATCATTATTTTTACTACCATGATTATTATTCTCAGCGTTCTATTAATAATGTTTTTACATTACTGTTGTTATTATGACTTCATTTATTTATAATTATTTATATTATTGTATTTATATGGTTACAATTATTTATAATTATTTTTATTATTTCTTTATTTATAATTATTTTTATTACCGTTATTTATATCCTTATTAGTTGCCGTTGAATAGCTTGAGAACACAACGGCGGTGATCAAGTTATACTGTGAACCCCTCGATGTTACTGAGATGCAGCCCGAGTGGTACCATACCTAACGAAGTTTGTTCCAGGTTGCTCAATCGGATCGCCAGCGCCACGTGTATCATCGTCATTTAAAACGGCAGCGTATTTTCGAATGTCCACTTTGTACGTTCGCCTCTAACTACGATATCCATCGCGTAAAATGGCACATCAAATGGATGCACAAGGAAGATCCGAACCGCGAGCCATATTCACATGAGGATGATTGCAGGTTAGATTTAAAGATTGCTTTTTCTGATACTATTGAAATGTTCGAGTTCAGTTTATAAAATACCATGTCGAGACAGGTTGTGATTTAAACCTATGCGGCAAAAAACGGAATAAACGAATTACTCATCCCTGTTTTGGTCACTTTATAGGTCTGTCCACGTTAAATTTAGAGATGAAATTGATCGACTTAACGAGCAGTGTTTCCCCGGCTGGCAGCATAGACGAAAACAGTTTTGGTGGCTGGATCCTTCCGATGTAACCGAGAAGCCAAAAAATACACAGGTTTGCAAGACAAGAAAATGTTTTGAGTAAAAATACCACCAAAAAAAACGTATACGAAACAGGGAACCAAGAGAATAAAAATTATTCGACTACGGCGAAAAACATGGCGAATTGAGTCAAATTTTGCTCAAGAGGCAAACAGTATGCACATTTTGATCAGAATGTTGCAAGAATTTAATCAAAAAGAGGGCGCACAATTTTTTACAAAATACGAGAATTATTACGGAGGGCCTAAGGCCGGAACTGGTGAAAAAGTTGTCGACTACACCAATAAAAAAGGTTTTCAGTAGAGACCAGTCGTCTTCCAGTCAGTGGTCCGTTCGATTCAATAGTAAATTTTGATAAGATGTGGTGATAGTTGTGGCACGGGGGCTCGCAGGGAAACGTTTATTAGATTCAAAGAAAGCAATGAGCAATCAGTGGTATTGGTGAATCGGCCTAACAATAAACGGTCGGGACTATCAAAATGGGGGGATAAGAACAGTTCCGCCAAACATCCCCTAGGGTGGGTTGGTGAGTCGAAGAATGCTGAGGAGATGAGTCGAGTTCAAGAACTGATCATGTAAGAAGACGCGTAGTTTCAACTGGTAGACGAGACCGGAATCTTGAGTAAGGAAAATGGGGGTTTATATGGAGTCTAAAATGATCCACCCCGGAAGTGAAGGAATGTTCCTCCTTTCTGGTGATGAAGACCCAAAAGGCGGTAGGTAGGCGAATTAGAAAAAGTTGTTAAGAAACGGAAAGGAAAGGATTTGTAGATGGGTAAGTTAGATTAAAGGGAGATAGGGAACTGGGTTATTGCAATGAGCCATGAAGAACAGGAAGCAGATGCACCATAAAAATTGTATAATATTTTGTACCCATTTGTACAATTAATTTCGTTTACTCTTAGGTGACAAAGAAAAACGTGAAATCAGACAGTCAAAAAAAGAAGCTCTCATTGAACAGTGAGCAGGCGACAGTGGTCAAGGAAAAACCGCCTTCTGGAAAAACAAATGAATGGACGTGCATGGCGAGTTTTGCTTTTGCTAACAAAAAAAAGTACAGGCCGAAATTCCGGCCCTCCCTTCCGTTGTGAAAAATTCATGTCAACAGGCTAAGAATGCTAAACCTTACTTTCCTTGGAAAAAGATACCATCCGTGCTACAAAACCTGCAGTAAATTTTATGACAATGAGAATAAATATCACAAATTTGCAGCTTTGCAAAAAAGAATTCAAGCCATCATCAAATTTCCTGCGTCATGTGGCCAAAGATCATCTCAAAATTCCGCTATATCAGTGTCCAATCTGTGAAGGTCATGGTGGTCAAGATGCTTATGAAATTCGTGCGCATATGCAGAAGGTACATGGTGAGTGTACACAGGAACCGGTGTCGAATGTGGAAGAGCATGCTGAAGAAGTGCAAAGAGTATATCAACAATGTTTTCCGGGACGTAAGCTAAAAGTTAGCCAAATTTTTATGCCGGTATTTGTTCCAATACAGTTTTTTCCTGTCATATTTTGTCGTTTTTTGAAATCTTTTTTAAATTTTCCATCAATTTTTTTTTTAAGAATCTGTTGCCTGAGAAAAAGATAAACCAAGACGGGAGAGCATCCACTGACCTCAAGGTGCAGTGCCGTGAATGTGGACAAGAAATGAAAACTGAAGATCGACAGGTATGCATATATATAAAAGAGCGAGGTACCAAAAAAAGCATGGACGAGGGAAATACTTGCCTTGATAATTCGATCAGGCGTAATTCGCAGCATCGTCCTACATCTGGCAGTTTTTTAGTTTTTTTTTTTCTTTTTTGACAAGTTCCTGTTGGTGGTCCTGAAGTTCGTTTCGTTCTCTGTAGAAAAACCCTTTTCCCGAAAGAAGTACTTTGCGAAGTTTTAGTCGTTTTGAGATGCCCTTGATGTGTAAAGCATCACCAGTTCGTCATAAACGTTGCCACTTCTTGACCACGATAGGGTAAGAGAAAGAAAGAGAGAAATAGTTTTTTAAAAAAAACAAATAAATCAACAACAAAATAGAGAGTTCTTCAAAATTATGATCTATCACTGATTTATTTTGTCTTTGGTTATTCAGATGATTTAAAAAAAAACGCACATCAAGAATACGTATGTAAAAAACAAAACTCAAAACGCTCGGATGGAATTAGAAATGATCGAAATAGTAGCAGCATACTACGGGCAGTCATCTACGAAGACTGGTAAAGCTGTTGGTGGCTAGAGTATTTCAGGAGATGCTTAAAAAAGAATTCAGAAGAGCTTTCATCCTGCAGCCAATAAATAATGTTAGCTTTTGAATGTAGAAAAAATAATACGCCCAAAGTGGAGCTCCAGGATTTGATTGCGCCACCAGGACAACCAGTCCCTCTACTGTTCGTTCATTCATTTCTGTGGTAAATTGGTACTAGCATGTGCCACAGAGTCATACTCACTATCAGATGCTCATAAGGAACCCTCGAAAGAACAGTCATCGATAGCTTTGCCAGTGGATGGTTGCTGCTAGAATTTGCTAATACTTGGATTTCTTCCCGCTTGCTTTCACTTTTCAATGAGAGCGATTATGGAGAGATTCCACTTCTGATTTTTGAAAAAAGCGGTATTGATTTTTCAGAGAATTTAAAAAAAATCATGTAAAAACTAGTAAACGTATTACGTCATTATCACCCAAACATTTCTTTTTTTTCTGGAATAAAACCAAAAAGGGAGGAGGGACCTCAAAAGAGGGATAGTATTTTACTAAGGAACCGAATTTTGGACGGATGTTCTTGGGATCAAGCTGCCTTCCTCTTGTTTCAAACACTAATTATGGACCGGTGAAAAGCAAACAAATTCGTTGGGATTTTTTTTCCCAATTTCAGTTTTCGCACATAGTACAATTTCAAGTTCAGGATTCGAATACTAAAATCTGGAATTGTTTTCCAGCAATTATCGTCCGCCGTTTTGCAGATCCATGTATACAGACACCACCTCAAAGAGCCCCGTCTTTACGAATGTCCTGCCTGTGAATTCGCCCACCACGCCTGCTCATCGGACGTAAAAGCTCATATCAAGTGGGTTCGATCTCATTATTCACATGCAGAAATTAAATAAAGAATTTAATCAAAATTAAATAATCAATAGTGGTTAAAAACAAGTGTAATTAAGGGGCGTGGAACATGAAAGCTAGGAAATACGAATTCTATTACTAGTAACATTTTAGTTAATTGCTGCGAGAATTTGGGAAAACAAAAATTTTTCCTATGAAAATGTGGTAAAAATTTTTGGCAAAAACATAGTTTGTTGTTAGCATTTTTGAAGTTTGCTTCTTCAAAATAAACAGTCTAAAAAAATTTAAAGGTACGCGCATAGGGACAACGCGGATTTGGTCCCGAAGGCAAATTTGATGAAATTCTCAAAAGAAATTGCTGAATGGAACTTACGCTGTTTTCCTGGGTGGATTAATCGCCGACTGCCCACGTCTGTGTTCGAAGATTTCCAAAGGTTTTTCCAATTTTAACATTCTTAAAAAACTTTTCAACGCTTCATGCTTAAATAAAATCTTAGTTAAACTACTAAATAGGCTGAAATGACGCAAGCGACCAGACTGAATGACTTTATTTTGCTATATCAAGATTATTTTTTGTAATGCGTATTGTAAGCTTAGGATTATGTACTGTGATACTACTGTAATGTGCTGTTTTTTGTTCAAAATTTAGTATTCTCCGCGTTTTTAATGCACTTTTTTGGTGTTTTGGTTCTGTACTTCGCTTCTGGAAATAACTATGGACGACGAGGAGGCTAAAAATAGAAAGCCTCTCGTTACAAAAACCAAAGATTTCCTGATTTTCAAAAGATGATCGGATTCAGTCATGGCCAATTGCTTTAATTTTGAAAGTTCAAAAAAGAATCCATGTTTTTCAGAAAATACCCGATGAGGAGAACCATCTACAGTTCTGCAATTTTAGAGTACTAATACTCAAGGTAAAAAAAAGCCAATAATAGTTACTAGTAGAAAACGAGAAAAAGTACTGATCAAAGGATTATTCAAGAAAATATTGACTGATCCAGTAGGGCGAGGGGTCTTTCCCAACCCCCCCCCCCCCCCCCCCCCCCCCCCCCCCCCCCCCCCCCC